TTACAGAATAAATATAATTTAAATATAATTTAAATATTTTTTTTTGATTATCTTTAGTTATACATTATTCTTGAATTATTAACTATGTAATACTTTTTAAGTTCATCCCTTATGCCTTGTGAGGGTATCAACTTTGTTTTATAAATAGGAACACATATTTTGAATTATATAAAATGTTTGAGTTTTTAATTTAATAGTAAATGGCATTTGAATTTTTAATATAACTTCATTCGTTTATTATAAAATAGTGAAAATAGTTTTTCATAATATATTATTCTAAAAGTTTAAGTGTATTCAAAATTTTAGTACCGAGTTAAAACTATAAATAATTGAAACATAAAATGGCAATTCTAGAATTGTTATCAAATTAAAAAAATGTAATATACTTTTATATTTCGCTATATGATAGTTTATTTAAATACAAAACTACTCATTCAGTTGAGTAAATAAATCTACATTTGATATATATGTTAATACAAAAAAAATATTAAATATTAAATTCAACTTTTTTACAACATTTTTAATCAAATCAAAGTAATAAGTAACATTAAAATTGTGACATAGAAATATCGATACAATGTTGAACATTTCAACTCTATTTTTGTCAACAATTTTTTACTGTGTTTCTACATTGAACCAATTCAATTAGATGAATCAATATTCAAAAACGTAAAATACTTGGAAAATGAAATAATAAGAGGAATCTAGAAAGAATTCAGAAATGATAGCAATATAATCGGTATTCCTTTTAAGAAAATTCAGGATTTGAAAAATATAATTCAAACGAAAGATGAAGATAGAAATAGGAAGTGGTTATACCCTTACTATGAAGACGCCATGATGTACTGATCATTGAAATATGTGTATATATTGGTCCATTATGGTGGTATGGCAGTTAGACTAAAGACTAATAATAAACATATTGCAAAATTTATTACCACGGTTTACACTATAAGTAGTTTTTTTGAGCTTATCCATTTTGAAAATTAAAAATTAGAAAACATTATAATATTTTAGAGAATTTCAATAATTTACCAAAAAACCAAGTTCTGTTCCACATTTTGGAATCATATCCAATATTTTTAGTGAAATCAAAAAAGTCATAAATGATTATTTCAAATGTGAAATGTTACAATATAAAAATAATGAGTCTAAGCTTATAACCTACAGGAAAGACATTTGGGAAACGAACGAATCTCTAACAAGTAAAAACTTATTAGACAACAATTATTATCCTCCAACAAAAATTGAACTTGTAGTTGAGAAATTAATTGAAGCAATGAAAATTCTCATTACTAAAATAGTAGAAGAATATAAAATAAAGCTTAATGCCGATGAAAATAACGAAAAAGAATGTAAAATAATAAATTTTATACTATGAGCGTTTTTTTTACCACTGAAATTTTGAACTCTAAATTTTGTTTTAAAGTATAATTATATAGTTTATCAAAAAATTATGTAAATGAAAATATTGTTATTTTTAGCTAAAAAGTTTATTAATAAGGAATATTTTAAGGAAAAAAAAAAACTATAATATTTATTCACACAACTTTTTCTTAACAGTTTCAAATATTAAAATTAATACTCTTTAAGACTGTTTTTAGAACCGAATTTTCATGATGTGTTCAAAATAGGTTATTAAATTAACACAAAACTAAAAATAATCAAATTAAAAGAAATCTATTTTTTTAAGCTAAATTTTGTAAAAAAAATATATGAACTATTTTTCTTTTATCTTTTATTCTTTTTATCTTTTAAATTTAATAATCATGAAATATTTTTATATTTATACCTAATAACTTATAATTGCACTAACTCAATTTATTTTTAATAGAAACGATATCTTCATTTAATAGTAATATACAGTAGCTATGTATTAGATAGTATATGTAAAAAATCAAAAGAGTAATTGTTAATATAGAATCAATAATTTGTGTTGTTAATTGAGCAATAATTTTGCCAGGAGAATGAAAAATTTTTTAAGTGACAAATATTTTATTGAATTAACAAAACTACTTTCGAATTGACAAATTAAATTATTGTTCTTATATTTTTTTTCAGTGTTAATAATATATTAATATATTTAACTAGCTTAAATTTTAGAAAATTATCTAATTAAGAAAATGACGTGTCAATTCTTTTGGAAAAAAAACATTAACTAGTATTTCATTAGTTAGCTGAAAATTCTCCTATAGTATAAATAGCAGTACTCCACCTCATCTCTAATCATTACTTAAAATTTTTCTTATAAAACTTTCAAAATATTGATCCAAAAGTTGTAATTAACCAGTAATTCTCTTAATTAGATCATTGTTTAATAAATAAGCCATAGCTTAAATATTATGTATATTGCTGTTTGAAATGATAAAGTTGATATTTTTGTATATAAAAAATATTTTTTGATTGATAAATTAAGAAAATTATGTTACTTGAAGAATAATACTTATAATATATTTATTTTTCAATTAAAGGAGTGGTAAAAAATGATAAAAGAATCGCTCTGTATTGATTGAAAATTTAATGTATATAATGCAAATAGTGTTGTGATTCAATTACCATCAGGTCAAGTACAGTATTGTAATGTTTTGTTCTACAACTTGAATTCAGTCAACTGAATGTTGACGACCATAAAAAATTTAAAAAGGCTAAAGTTATAAGGGAGAAATCGTAAAAAAAAAATGTCACTGGACATTATATGAAATACACAACTGTCGGTTGCAACCAAGGCTATTTAGTGCAAATGGACCGAGAGTAACCACCCAAGACAAGCAGCTAAGCCCCAGAGACTGAAAATAATGAAGTCCCCAGATGGTATCGTCTCGTTCTGCGATAATGGAACCCTTCATATCCTCTTTCCTCCCGTGTTTGTTTTTGAGGTTAACTGCAAAAACAGAAAAGATAAAATGCTACTACTACTGTTTTCCCAAGTTTCTCAACTTTTATGACAACAAAAACGTGACGGGTCCGTTAGGGACATCACCACAGAAGCTTTACACTCTCTCACCCCGTCCGCTATGCTTATAATGTCTAACGGTTTTTACCACAGCTGGGGTACTTAAAAACTTATTTGTTTTTTGTGCCACTTTATTCTATTATCAAGAGCATTATTACTTATTGATTCAAGAATTAGTTAATACTTCCATAATATTGTTTATAAATGTGCTTTTCATGAGGATACGTAGGATAAAAATTCAATTCTTATATACAATTTCTATTTATCAACTGTGCAACAATAAAAATATACAATAATAACACATTAAGTGTTGCTGGTACCTATAAATATAAATTGGTATTTGTGCTTGTTGTAAACATCAAGAGAATTTGTAATTTTATTCGATAAACAATTTATATGATGAAATCAATCGTATATAAATGCGTTTAATCAGACTCAGTGACTTATGTGCTTACAGGCAAAAATAATTAGGTACGCATAGACATAAATAATCAATTACTCGATAAGTCGTAGTTACCTTCGTCGTAGCCGTTAGTTAAGTAACAATTAATAGGACTATTATTTGCAGACTGAAACCCTGTAATTATGTATTCATTTAAAAATAAGAGGTTCAAACAAGACTGTGGTTGAGATGGCATAGGAAAGACATTTTATCAGGGTTTAAAAGTTCAACTTAGCCACTACCACGCCCATAACCCCTTTGATTTATTAAAGGAAGTTGTTGTATCGCCTTTACCTTAAATATTATGTATACTTGAATAAATATTGGATACTATAATGTTAAAATATATACAATGTATATATATATATATTTACATAGAACGTTTAACGAAAATCATTATTCTGAATTTATAGCATACTAAAATGACATTAAACTGGTAATTATAATATTTCTGTCCAAGTTAGATAACTAATGTTCAAATAAGATAAAAAAATTAGATATTAATTTATCCTTACTTTATAGATAAAAAGACTACGTGCTTTGAGTTAGGTGTGAATGTAAATTGTGTTGTAAACAGGCAGACATATGAATAATAACTTACTTATAGGAATGTTATATGCCATCTTCAAATAGTTATATATGTAATGCTTATATAATATCTCGAATAACAAACAATTTTACTTTATTTTTGTTTTCACAAAATATTCCTCATATAATGTTAATACTTTAGAATATATTAATAATCATTCTTTATTAGTCGTTGAGTCAACATGAATACCTTTTCTGTCTTTTTTAAAATTAGTGAGAACAAATTTCTTTTTTAGAATTGGTTAATCTAAAATATCAAAGAGAAATAATATAATAAGTAACTTGAGGTAAGATTTTTTGATATCAATCAATTATTTATGTTTTAAAATATAGGAAAACTCTTTTGGGTTTATCAATTTACTAATAATTAGTGAAAATTGATAATCGTTAAACAGTTTGATCATATTCTAAAATCTAAATAATTTATTAATAATAACCATTTTACCTTATTAGCCTTGCTATACCAGGTTATTCTACATTAATGGAATATTTTTACATGAAAATAAAAAATTATAAGAAATAATTAATATTGCCAGAGAGACAGAACTCTTTGACACATTTATAGGAGTGGCTTATTAATACATATATATACTATATATAGTATTAGATATACAAGTAATGATAAAAACACTTATATATCACTCTGTGGAAACACTTATGTGAAGAAACCAATTAATATAATTTGGTTGTAGGTACACACAATGAACGTGGTTTAATTGCATGGACAGTTCTTTCTTATCTCTTTAACAAACTAAAACTAATTTGTTTCAATCTTCTAGAAGTTTTTAGATTTTTAAAAAAACAATAACATTTCACTGTAATATTTTAAATCCCAAAATATATATCCTATTATTTAGTGGCATATTATTTAAAAAATAATGATAATTTCTTGCAATCAGTTTTAATTGTAAATTTTTTTTTACTGTTAAAACATATATTTTAAAATACAATTTATTGAATAATTTTTATTTTATATAAAATGCATTATTAAAAAATGTATGAAAAATTTACAACATATTAAATAAATCTGTACAAAAGTTTTATTTTCAAATATAAAAACATTAGTTACAAAATACAAAAATATATTTAAAAAATAAGATAACTTATTACATATAATTACAGATAAAAAATATAAAAATAATTCACTACGCTTTATAATAGAATATATTATACTCTTTAATTTTATTTTACTTTTTTTTTCAATCGGTTTTTGGCAACAATTTCTATTGAAAATAATTTTTAGTAAAGGCCATGCAATTAATCACAACTCGTAACCAGATTTGTTTTATAATGTCGAGGAAAAACTTCCAGTAAAAGAGCAAGGTTTATATAAAGAGGAGGTGGAAATATACACCTCAAACTTTTGGCTGACTTCCAAAGTTCGATTCTGGTAGGGTGATAAATGAACGAAAGAGTTTAATAGTAATTTAGTAAGTTCTTTCTTTGACAATGTACAAAAGTTACCAAGCAATTGTCTGAGAAAAAGTATTTTTCATACATTCCAATTAAATTGATAAAATTTATTTTTATTTACCAAATGCGCAAAAATCTCTAGATAGTACTTTTTTGTTTTAAAAATATCTAATGAAATTTTCAATCAATATATCGGTTAGTAACAATAGATGACGTATTGCATATTTCCACTAGTTTTAGTCACGCAAATGGTGTTATATGTTTTTAACAACATAACAATATATTAATCAACATATTTAATTAATAGTTAACTATTTAAATAAAAGTTATATTAAAAAAATATATTCATTAATTTTTATAACCTCTTTTTAGGTTATTTTTCAAAAATACTTTATATTTGAGCATATAATTGTATATGATTTTTTTATTTACAAGTCATGGCACGCGACAACTGAATTATCCTATAAATGGATATCCACCATACGGTATGAAATTAGGGAATTGAGCTATCGTAGGTTGAACGGCAACAGACTGAGTCAAATATGAAGTTACCTGAGTGGGAAAAACAGAACTAGAGTACAATGTAGTATAAGCAGTTTTAGCACCAAATGTAAGCTTGAGTACTCTACTATCAGTTTGAGTGACCATTGATTCGGTAATAACTGGTGTGGACATTACGGTAAACGATGGCTGTTGTGGGAAAAGAGTAGGCTGTGGAGGAAATAGGGTTGGTTGTTGTGGAAATTGGGAAGGCTGAGGAAATAAAGAAGGTTGTGGTTGTAAAATTGATTGTTGGGGAAATAGAGCAGAAGGTTGAGGTATAGCTAGGGTGGTCGTGAAAAGTTCAAAATCTGTTCGTGTAACTGTTCCAATCGGCCTAGATAGAGTAGTATAATATGTACTACCACCATTCACTATAGGAAGGGCGTGTGTTTCATACAATGTTTCCAATTTTAAAACTGGTCTAGAAGTTGTAATAACTGGAGCAGGCACTGGAGCATTTGGATTAAGTAGTCTATAGAGAGCCAGTTGTTGAAGTTGTTCAGGACTCATAGTTGGAGGGGCTGAACTGGAGAAATTATTATTGTTATTAGTAGCATTGGGGAATTTATGTGCTTTCTTTAAACGTAAACCATTTGTTTTATCCATTTGTGAAACATCAAAATTTGATCCAACATTAGCTAGATCTAAACTGTCCAGAAACGCTTTTGCTGCATTTGGATGAGAATCATCTTCATTATTATTGTCACCATACTCAAGCTCCAAATGAAGTTCAGATCCAGCCTCATCTAATCTTGTATTAAACTCATTCAATGTTTTACTTGGAACAAATTGATATACCTCCATGGGAGGTAGAGTTTTCACTGCTGTTATTAATCTGGTAACCTTGTAAGATTGGATTAAAGTATAGCTGCTTGTATCACTACCTCGAACTACTGGTAAAATGTGAGTTTTTAACATAAGTTCAGTCGTGCTGAAACTTTCTGTCATAGTTTCTAATGGTGGTGTAGCTTGGTCAGGAGATAAAGCTATTGGGGGCAAGGTAGCTATACTAGAATCAATTGGGTGTTCGCGACCATATAAGTTATTGACAGTGCTTGCAAGTATGTTTTCGGATAGTGGTTCTACTCTAGATGGCTGAGGACTTTCAGTTTGCTCGACAAGACTCTTTTGGAACGTAGATGTGACAGTTATAAATCTAGTGTTTTTCACAGATCCAACCTAGAAAAATAAGTTGTATATTTTTTATCTATGTATTAAATATTGAGAACTAATTTTTAAATATCATTTATATTTATATTTTATACTATTAACATTAAATATATAAACATTTTATATCATTTTTATAAAAGTTATATTTATATAGAATATATTATCTCTCTTCTAGTTGTAATTATATTTTGGTTCATAAAATATAGTGTTTAAGAAATAAATTATGTTGTTTCTGAAATGGATGATTCCATAATGTTAGTAAACGTTATTATATTAATATGATTTTGACTTAAATAGATTATATTTCTAACTTGTAAAAATACTAGAATAGATGGTTTATTATTTTATTATAGGTATTTATAATTGTAAAAGTTTCTACTTTTTTTTTATAATTTAGTATTTATATAATCTCGTAGATAATAAATTATATAAAATAGTTCTATTATATTAAAATGTACGAAAATTGAAATATACAACTAAAAGCATTGAAAAATTAATTGTGTTTACTTGAAAAGAATACGGTGATTTGATAGTTGCAATTTCATAGTAAATATCTTTAAATTCAGCAGGTGTTGATATCTCTACTCTAATAGTTTCAGCGGTTGCTGTTGGAGTAGATTCTTGAATAAGAACATCATTATCATCGTCATGTTGTAAAGCTGGTAATAAACCAGATCCTGCCAACGCTTGATCATTATTATCTACTTGTACGTCAGGCAAATGCGGTGTGACTGGAGTTGTATTATTTTCTTGGCCATGTCGCAGGTCATCTATCCGGCGAATGGTTACACGAGGTTTAGGAGATGTTTTATACTCCCATCGACCAGATGGTCGAACTAGTTTAGATTTGAATGTTATTGGTGGAGTTGGTATGGATTGATGGTTTGACTGTGATTGTAAAGGTTGCTGTTGCTCTTGTTGTTGAAAATGTTTTTTGAAAACTCTACGAGACGTTGTAGTAGGAGTTACAACTGCATTGTTTTCATTGCGTTTAGAACTAGGGACAAATCTTCTATGAGTGATAGATCCTTCAGTGATATCTTCTTGAGCTTCAGTGGTTGGTCTAATAAATCTATTTTGTTTAAAGTTTGACGATTTTTGTGTAGTTGTTGTACCTTTTGTTGAATATTTAGAACCTTTTCTATAACTGGGTGTTGTTGGTTCATTTTGAGTTTGAGAGTACTCATTAATTTCTTCATCTACTGCTGCTGGATAATCGTCTGACTCTCGAGGTTTATTTTTTGGTGTAGGTGTGTATTTATTTTTGTTTGTACTAATATTAATAACTGGTTTTCTAGATTGTCTAACTAAATTTGAACTTGGTTGAGATCCAACTAAATATTCTAATGATTCATCTTCTAAGTTAGAGGTTGACGGAGTAGGTTCAATACTTGGTGGTCTACTAGCTGATTTAGGAGCAACTGTTTTTAATATACGAATTCCAGATGAAGAAGGTGAAATTTTGACTGTAACTTTTTTTGGTGTTTTATTAGTAACCGGTTCTTCATCTATATTAAAATTTGATACACTACTAAATGCACGTGGTTTGCCTTTTTGGTTAACCACTAATCTTGATGCGCTTGGCCTTAAATCAATCACTTTAAATGTTTCATCTACCACTTCAGATGGCTGCCGAGAGAGGAAATCGTATTCAGGTGTAGGTGCTAAATGATTTATAGCAACCTCTTGGACAGGCTCACCAGAAATTACTTCTACTTTACTCGAAATAACTTTTTCTGGGATATCACTAGAAGAATGAGAACTAATACCTTCAATAACGTCTTCTTTTGTTATTATGTCATTGACAACTTTAGTACCTGTTAAAACAACTACTTTGGAACTTATGAAATCCTTTTTATTTTTTTCAACGGCCTCAGGAGAAACTCCCTCCATTGGAGGAATTGGCGTTGTCGATTTTACGACTAATTTTTTTTGAGTTGAAAAAGTTCCAGATTTTTTTTCTTGGTTATTTTTTTTATCTTCATCAATTGATGTTGGTTCATTAGTTGTTATTGTTGTAGGTTCAGGAGTTGTATTAAGTTCTTTGATTGTTATGACAGCTTCTTCATTTGGTAGTTGATCGTCTGGTTGATATAATGGTTTACTTGGAGTTATATCCACAAATTCAGTTTCCAACTGTTCTTTGGACACTGGTTTTTCTTCGATTGTTGTGAATGATTCTTCAGTAGTTGTTTGATCTACAGCTGTAATGACTAAAGAAACAGAATTATTAAAAATAATTGTAATTTTAAGTGCAATTTAATTAGTTAAATTAAATTATTATTTAATTATGACATTTACCCGGCAAAGGAGAGGCACTTTGAGGCATGAACACCATTTTAGTGTTTCCAATAGTTGTTGTAAAATCTAAAAATCCATAAACAGTTTGAGTGATTTGACTATCTGGTAATACCACAGAAGAGGCAAATGGTTCAGGACTGTCATATTGAGAGTTTGCGTCCACATAAACTGGTCCAGATTCACACTTGGCATATACTATGAACAACGCTAAAAATAAAATAAATGTTAAATGATATTTAATTTTATTTAATATTACATAAATTGATACAAATTATACACTAATGTTGGTGTGTATTATATTATTACTGATTGAATCAGTGGCGTATGTAGAATCTTAAGTCAATCCTGCCAACCTAGTAGTTTTTAATATTTTTATCATGGATATGTTAAATATTTCAGGATTTTTTATTATTTAGGATATTTCTGTCATTTAATGATATAAAGTAGATAAATTAAGAAATTTAGGGAAGATGCACAATAATAATAATAAATGAGCTAAAATTGTAACTTAAATATGGTTTCATAAAAATAAATGATATTTTATTAAAAAAAAAAAGATTTTATATTAAAATATTTCATTCTTCAAAATTAATTAACAGGCAAGACTGAAAATATCAATATTTGTTATTAAAAATTCCATCGTTTAAAATATTGAAATACTTAATACACATTTTAAGTAATGAAACTTTACTGAGCAACGCTTCAAGATTTAAATTAATGAATATTTTACTGGCTAATTAAACGGTTAAAATATTCTACCGCTATTGTCTTCGTTATAAATGATTCACCATTGTATATATATATATATATATATATATGAAAATCACCTGTTTAATAGTATGAAAAAAGTCTCACTTTAAAACGCTAATTAGTTTAATTAGCCTTGTCGACATAATTGCTGAAATTAATAGCATAAAATTTGTCTGGCTGAAATCGAAATGATTTAGTACAACCCAAATGAATAATTTTTAAAACAGCATGATGAGATTAAAACGTTTTAAAATAGGAAATTTAGAATAGGTTAATATATTATATTAACTTTATATTCGTTAATAAAGAATTACTTACAAAACTTTGTAATATGGTTTTTATAAAATATAATACATACACACATTATAATATTATAATATATGTAATTAAAAATTTATAGTACATATTTTAACCTATTATGTAATATTAACCAAAACATTATTAAATACTATTTTTTAATACAATTTTTAGAATTAAAAGAACTGTCGGAGCGTAATTTGTGTTAAACATATTAAACGTATTTGTCGAATAAATCATTTTATATACATTATTGTGATTTTATTGGAGATCTCACAAATATCATAAAATACAAAAATTGTTTTTTAGTCGTGCGTATAACGAAATGTTATAGTTTGATGAAAGCTATCATACTATGATAAAACACGAAAGAAAGTCGACATAATGTTACTCGTTTGTATACATCCATAAAAACATGCGAAAGAATTTTAAAAAGAGATAAACAGTTTCAATTTTGTTTGTGAGTGAAACTTCTAACACATCTTAAGTGAATCAATTTTAGAAATAAAATTATGTTTTTAGAGTATTTGGTTGATATAATATCAACCGAATTTTTTAAAACATATTGTTATAAATGATGGATGTAATGTGGTTTTACAATATATTAGGTATAAACAAATTTTTATTTTATCAAATAGTTTTAATTATATTATTTAGCTGATATTAGAATTAGATAGATACTTCAAGTTCAGACAACTTAACTTGAAGTTAAGAAGATTTCTTCTTAATACTCTGGCGTAAATAATTTATTACGGAAAAAACTTAAGGAACAAGCAACGACCATGAACTAATTTACTTGGCCCAAATGATATACGACTATAATTAAAGAAAATATTTGTTTCATCCAAGGATGAATAAACTACATGAGAAATGGACTTGTTAACATAAAAAAAAATTGTTTAGTACAATAAGAATGATGATAATTATTTTAATGTAGACGTTTGACTGATAAAGGTTACATGAAAATAGACTTCGTCTTAAGATTCTCTAGGGCCTTCATTTCTTGTTTTTGTAATAGATATTATGAGAATTATATATAAATTAAAATACAAAAAGATTATAGTTATATTTTAAAATGTCATTTATATAATGTCAAAATATACTTTTTAAACTTTATTTCTAAGGATTAACAATTGATATATTGTGTAAAACGTCAAATATAAATTAGATGTTTGTATCTAAGTTTTACTTACTTTGTAAAAAAAAACACAATAGTAACAATTTCATTTTGAAGAATTTCATTTCAAACAATACCCTAGTTAGCTTTTTACAATCCGTGAGTTGTATGTGTCGTATCTCTGTCGCTGAACACTATGTAAGGGGATACAGTTTGGTTGTCGAGCAATACCCACTGGTACACTCAATTGTATTAGTGTGTACTTATTGTCAGTGCAGTTTTCGCCTGGAAGTCATTGCAATACGCCGGCCGGGTGACAAAACCGGGTGATACGAAAACAGCGCCTGTAAGAAAAATAATAATAATATAAAAATAGGCATAATAAAATCGCTAAGGAAAATAAGACAAATGTCATAGTAGACTTTTTCATATAAATGAGTTTTTCCGAGGGATACCTAATAGGGTTGCTTTATGAACAATCATAAACATAATATAGATCGAGGATGTACTATAGCAAACAGGAGAAGTTATGTGCCGAGGAATTTACTTTTTAAATAAAATATTTCAAAGTTATAAACGTCTGTGAATTTATTTTATATTTTTGATAGAATGTTGAAGGTTTTTATTTTTTTATTCTCTAGCAATGCCCCGTAAGTAAAATTTTTTTTTCGGTTTAACCAAACCGAAAAAAAACAACAACTGTTGTGCACGTGGCCGATGTACCGTAAACACTCGCATATGCTTACATTGTTAAATATAACATCCCTACTGCCCTGTACCCACTTGTGGTTCTACACGAAAGTAGTATTGCAAAAGCACTTTATTAGTTTTCAGTTACGTGGGTTTTGTTTGTGTCGATATGCCCGATCGTATTTTCTCTTCGAGGACAAAAAGCGAAAAAGAAATATCAAGGTGTCTAACTTGGTAGTTTTTACACTTTGCTAACTACCAAGTGTTTGTTGTGTGTGTTTATATATTTAAAGTCACCCTTTAAATTTACGGTAAAACGAATAGGTACCACATAATTTATCTAGAATCAACAAGAACGGTCAAAGCAAACACTGCACACGATCAACGGACTTGAATTCAACTAAAAAAAAAAAGTTTATAAGGTAAACACAATTATCCTATATGATAAAAATTTAATTTGTTTAAATCAAATTATCTGCAATTTATTTTCAAACGGATGAACGAAACGGTTTGGCGGGTTAACCATAAATGATAATGTGCTGCTGCAGCCAAGTAGTAATAACTCGCTGGCTCCACAAAGTCTACGAGGTGAATGAATAATATCACGTATGAATTTCGTACTGCAGTATATTACAAGCTCACACTTCCTAGCACGTGTATGAAAAGTCTGAGCTGATTTTTGTCATCGTTCAAAACAATATTCGCTTTATTATAATCCGCCTTCTTCTGCGCCTGTGAGATTTAATTAGTGTAAATTAATTAATGTTTGTCCGTAACTGCCATACTGCCTTGTGCATACTAATTGGATTAAATGTTATTATTATTTAAATTAATTTCATATAAACAAAAATTTGATTTTAAATTGATAAAATTTGAATTTAAACAACAGATGATTGATTGACAAACAACAGATAAAACAATTTCCCAGAAGAATGTTAGATGTGTAGCCATTTAAAAATAATCAGGATTATTAATTAACACGTTAAAGAAAACATTTTCAAAACACAATTACGCAGTTTAAAACGTCCCTCAAGACCAACGTAAATATTGAAAATTTTGGAGTTAAAAACGTAACTTTCCTGAGGATAATAGTTAATTGAAAATTGATTTTTATTTCAATCATGAGGGTCGGTATAAATTTTTTTTGTCGTACACCGTTACCGGACCACTTATCAACGTAATGGAAAATGCCTTATCAGTTTTTGTTTGCTGCTTTTTATAAATATATCTGGTATTTAATAGAAATAAAATAAATATTGGAACGGATGAACGTTGAACAGACGGCAAGGCACGACGAATAAAAAAAAAACGTATCTTTGTATTACACAAAATTTATCTTGGAGATAAAATCCACAATGAATATTATGAATTCCACGATTACCTATCTATACTAAATTCGTAAACAATATTGGAATCCGTTGTACAATACAAGAGGTAGAAAGAGAAAAACGGATCAATTTTCGCAGCCGGATTTCGATTGAAATTCCATTGTTTGCCAAAAGCTTTTATTAAAAGGTACAACGATGAGAAATGCATCCAATTGATATTTGAGAACACAAAAAAAACATTTCTGACTGAGGAGAAAAAAACAAATTCGATTTTTATGGGCCTATTGTGAAATATCGTATGATCACGTCTAGTCGAAGTAATGAAATTAATAGCGTTTCAAGCATTTGTCATCAAAGCGAAGAGAAAAAAATCCTTCGAGTCGCTCGACTAAATGAATTTCAATCGAAAAAATGTTTCTCATATTATTATTCAGAGGTGTGTTTTCGACGAACTTTCTTATTTTCGTCAATAAAAACATTTGACATCGAGACTTCTCTTACATCAAAGTAAAGACATTTGCTATTGGTACGATATTTTTTGTTGTGGTTATTAAATTAAAATTTCACAACACAAATGACATCTAAAATAATTTGACATCCTGAGGATAACACAAACAATTATTGCAATATTCGTCCGAAATTTCTGTTGATTAACAAAATTTATTGGACTGGTTCTTGTTGAATGGACCGTACAGTTGACTACCCGTTGACAATTGCGCCATTAATATGTAGAGTTGGTGTATTTGAACGACAAATCAGTTGAGGTGGCAAACATCAAACGATAAATTTTATATTGAAACCCGTGTAAACACTTGTAAAAACTACATAAATCGTAAATTAAGCAGACCGGTACGTAACAGGTGGTCTTGGGCTTTTATGTTTTTCATTAAATTGCCGAATAAAATCATTCCTTTTAAATGTTTATATTATGCGTTCGTACGGTTGTAATAACATTTATTATATGTATAAATAAACAACGGTATTATATGAGCATGCTACCGCATATTACAGCCGTTAGTCCTTCGAGAGAAAAAAATATACATACATGTGTAATATCAAAACGATTTTGCAGCCAGAAACTGTACTTTGCCGGTGTCGTAAAATTAAAAAACTCGGTACAAACTCGCAGTTTAACGACCGTGTTAACGAACAGTGACAAATAATTTATTGCTTGTTATTTTTTAACCATTATTATTTATTTTTATTGGCATTATCATTTTGGTCTCAACGTCGACGGCTGCACGCGATCACGCCAAATGGTGAAACCAACACATTGTGTTTTATCGGTCACGATGTCGTCGAGTCTCTAACGTCTCGGTGCGTCGGCCCGGAGGGTCACCGATGAGACAATCGATGTAACAAAGTGCCGTCGCAACATTGATATGGGAAATGATAAAAACAAAACCGTTTGTCCGACATTTACCGGATCGTTAAGTCCATCCGACGCCGATGAAACGGCAACGCACTCCCAAGTCAAATGCCACTTGATTAAACACGGTCGAAAACGACTTACCAAGTGCCGAGTTTCGCGTTAAAGTCAAGCCGCATGTATAAGAAAAACTGAAAGTGGAACTTGCATTGTACGCGCGGCCAACAAAATGTAAAACTCATCGAAAAACCGCTCGGTCGGCAACGTTTGAACAATACACGTGTATCGAAACCGAAAGTATTTTTTATCGTTGTTCGACCCGCATTAACATGTGTATTAGTAGTTGAATAAAACATTCATGTTATACATGCCAGAAAAGAGTAATTAAATAATGATTATTGAATAATTTTAATAACATCAATCTCTACGCGTGACGTTAACACAATTTTTAAACTTTCTTTGTTGTCCGTGAACTCGTTAGTGCAATAGTTGTGGGCTTCGCACCCACTAAAACACATACTCCAACAACAACGTCATGAATGTGAAGTCATCTCGATTCGTTAGGGTTCGGCGTTGGACATGATCTCTAACAGCAGTCTCTTAAACACGATTTTATTGCGCGGCTTAAATGTTATAATGTTCTAAAGTGTACTTAAATTTGGGCAGCTAATAGACATTTTAACTATTACACATTTTTACCGCAGAACGCTTCCCGAAATATCCACCAAAGCGCTCACTTTAATTTAGTGAAAGAAACACAAAATGTCATCAAAAAACCAAATCACTTGCACTCTGCAAGTTTTCAGAAGAAAATCGACTAGCGAACAGACATTCCGACTTTTACGACTTTACAAAGGAGTCGTTTACTAGTAATTAATACCGTGAGTTTTTGTTGACCAACAGTTTTAAAGTTTTCGCGGTGTGTGACCACAATAATTAAAAATGATATTCGCTCCGTCTCTATGCTATTCAAAATTGACGGCTCAAGATTAATTGACAAAATTAAACATTAATATTGTCGGGTTGACGGAGCCGAAAACGTACAGTGTGACCTGTGGAACGTGTTCGACACGCCGTCGAGTTTTATGTTTTTTTTTGGCGAGGCCCGAGACAAAACGCTTGTCGAGATCTGCGTGTCACACGAGCCATCGTGAACTGTTACCTCAGCGATTGGAGGTGATCCCGCGGTAGGAAAGTAATTTTCACTTTTTATTAATCTTCTCACGGAATCGTGTCGCTTTATTGCATTAATTGGCCGTGACGTAGGCAATTTCTGTCGGGCGAATCATCCGCACGTGCGAACAACGCGCGTACATCTCGCACGTACGTGTGTCATTCCCTCGATCAGCGTCGGTCGTTAGGCGCTGACAACAAAGTGCGACTAGGCCTATTCGTCGAACGCCATTGTCCATCGATTAATAGCTGCCGCGCAGTACACACACTTCGACGCGTACGTCTGCCGGCTCACGGCGGATTACGTGTCGTGCGAAAAATAAATCCATTAATTGCGATCACGATTACACAGATGTGTGGGAAACGGTCGAATGGGACCCGGGCAGCCCATCTGTGAATTCACAATTGGTTTTCCGTTAAAAGCAACTAGTCTTGAATTGTAAATCCTATACATATGTACGCCGTCTGGGCTGCTTTGACACTCGCAACCCATCCGGACACTGACCCCGGCCGGCCGTTTCCACTGCTGCTGCACTTGCGGTGCGAACGACGTTAGGTGCGTACCAATCGATTGGTGTTGTCAATGACCTACGCGATCGACATATTTTAGAATTTAGCCAAAATCTACGGAAATTCGACGTTTATCTTATTCTCGTTGTTGATGAAAAAAAAAACTCATAAATTGTACGCCAATCTATTTCTTACTTCGTGTTACAAATAGTAGTTTCCTCTTATTCCTCTTAATCAAGTTTACGATTGTGACTAAACGAAAACTTTTTATAAG